ACTGCATTGTGACTCTACTGACGGCGAAGAAGGAGGCTTCAAGTAGTTTCAAGGCGTCACGAAAGAGAGACCCCAATCTCGTTCCAAAAAAGATCTACCCAGATGTGAAGAAGTTGCAAGAGACGAGTGTGAAATATACAGAAAAAAAAAATCAACTAAAGCCCGGTTTTGTGTGAAAGATCGAAAGAGAAGTTTTTATTTGTTTATACTGTTTTGTGCTGACTATGTTAAATGTACAAAAGAAATAGAAATAACACAATAAACGAAGAGTATAAATACACTCGTAGATTACTAGGAATACAAATAAAAGCAAGCGGAAATTATTAATGAAGAAAAAAATGAAAGGTAAATGTCAGTGCTAGACGCTTGTGTGGTTAGAACTGATTATGATGCATTAAGACAAGGAAACAAAAACTGACAATGAATTTTAAAAAATGAATAATGTTTCATCTAGTGTATTCCTAGCTTCATGTGACACGTGTGAATCTAGGCAGTCTTATTACTTTGTTATCGGTAAGAAGCACAGGTGACGACAAGTACTATGGTGTTATTCAGAAACCTTTGTTATCATTGTTATCTAAAATCAGAAACTGGTATTTAACCCGTCATAAAAACACGTCTTATTCCTAAATGTGTGCTGCTAAGTGATTCTTATTGTTGAGTTATTTGTTGATAAATATATACTCTATATCCTGTATCGCATCCGTAAGTGTGTACGATGAACAAGAAAAGAGGTTTGGCTAATATGACGGCAGCAACACCTCAGTAATGGAAGCCACACTGACAACAAGATGCCTCCAGACAGCTCTCTCCTCGTCGCCGCCATCCGCTGTCACTTCCCAACAGACACTCGCAGATCAGAAGCCTTCCCAGGAACTCTCTCCCGATTCGGGGAACGGAGAAGACCTGGACGAGTTTGATCCTCTGAAGGCCTCCCCGAAATGCTCTGACACGAAGAACGAAAGCGACCAGGAAGCGCTGAGGAGTCTAAGTAACTCGACGATCTCCCCGTTCGACTGTCTCGACAAGGGCAGAGATATGACAGCAGTGGAATCGGCGGAGGCCAACCAGCTAAGTGTCGAGAAGGACGGTTCACCGGAGAGTGAGTCAGGAGGACAAGTAACTATAGATAGTCACAAAATAAGATCAAAGGAAAGTGAAAGAAAAGAACAGTTCTCAACACTCAGTGAAAAAGAAGCGAATTTGATATCATTGGAGGAAAAGCCACAAGTCTCCCTAATTTCACCAAACCTTGGTGCGCAAAATATACCTAAAGAGAGTATTGTACATTATTCAGATGCTTTTAACAATAGAGTGCTTAATTCCTCCATCCTCGCTACATGTGGTTCCTCCCTCCCATGTGGACCTTTTTCTAGATCTTGTACACCCATAAAAAAGAACCAACAGCACCAAGAAATGAGTGGGCCCTTCAGTCTCCCTGAAGGAAAAGGGGCATTACATGATGGTATATTTAAAACTCTGCCATATCAGCTTAACTGTGATAAAACAAAAAGAGGACCCTTCAGTATCCAAAGCCTTGAAACAGCACAGGAACCAACAACATGTACAAACCTTTACTACCCTGAGTATTATAGTAATTATCGTAGTCGTCTCGTAAGGAGGTATACAAATCCAGAGGTTGTGAGAACACAGCCTATGTCAGGGGGCCTTCTAACCACGTCTTGTGAGCTTATAACATCTCTGCCGGGACAGTGCGCATGTGTCAACCCTGGTACGAGCCATGCCTGTGCAGCCAGGCCCACACATAAATTGTCTCCAGGTGTTCTCAACCCAGTCTTTGACCAAGGAAGTTGTGAAACGCGTGTTACTTTTGCCTCGATGCCTTCTACACCAAGAAAATTTTCACTTGATCTAAATTATATTCCAAGAGATTTCAGTTTACCTGAATTTCCTCAAACAGCCGTATCCTCTGTCATTCCCATCCGTCTAAAGGAGGGAACTCAACTTGTCTCTCTTGATTCAGCCAAGCCTGAGTATCAGTGCCTCTCGTCGCAGCCTTCTCCGCCTATTGTCTCTTCGTCTGAGGATCAGAACAATCACTGCCATCAAAACACAGACACAAATTCTTCTGCAATATCCCAGGGAGTATCAGAATCTTCCTTCAGTGTAACTACAAGTAGCTCAGCTTCTGGTACAGGTTTACAATCCTTAGCCTACAAAGACCTGGGCAGAGACCTCCCCAGCCTTAATGCTATGGCAAAGGTGCTAGGAACGGTGAGGAGTAGTGTGAAACCTCCCGTTCTCACCTCCCCAGACTGGTTTAGTTTCTTAACTCCTTCCCAGGAATCTTACACTCAAAAGCTCTTCACTCCTGGGGATCTGCAAGACGAACTCATGTACCCTGCGCCATATGGGATCGCTTCAGAAGTCTATCAAAATATCAATGCTCAGGAAGCTGACTTTGTCCTCCTTAAACCTAGTCGGAAGCCTAGAACGGAACCTTTGCCTCCACTTCAAAGGCAGACACAGCACCCAAGGA